TCAGCCACTTCTTCTAATTCTTCGTCTCCTATCTTTATATTCGTTCTTTCCTTACTTTTTCCTCCCTTGCACACCAGTATTTTAGTTTCACTTTTATTTATTTTCATACATTACTGCTGTGTCATTACCGCTTCCATTTTATTTAAAGCTATCTCATAAGTCCTCCTTTTTGATAAATGCGACGCGACCCTGCGCTATTCTCCGCTTTATATCCCTACTCCTTCCGTTCTGACTTATCTGACTTCCTAGATATCTAAAATCAGCCACTTCTTCTAATTCTTCGTCTCCTATCTTTATATTCGTTCTTTCCTTACTTTTTCCTCCCTTGCACACCAGTATTTTAGTTTCACTTTTATTTATTTTCATACATTACTGCTGTGTCATTACCGCTTCCATTTTATTTAAAGCTATCTCATAAGTCCTCCTTGCTAGATGCTAATACCGCTATATCATCTACAAATCTAAGCACACTAATCTTTTGCCCCTGTATATCTATCCCTACAGTTGTACTGTCTTTAATGATGTTGATCGCGTCTTCGATGTATAGATTTAAAAGTAGCTGTGACAGTGTGAATCCCTGTCTGACTCCCTTCCTAATATTTACTTATCTACGTTCCAGCCTTAGCTCTATAACTGCCTGTTGTTCTTTATGTATATTTAACATCTTGCTTGTTCTAAATCTACAAATCCTCTGTACGCACTCTTTCCTTTTTCTATCGTTTTCTCTATTGTTAAATATAAAACTAGAGTGGCCTCCCGCGTACCTCTATTTATTCTAAATCCAAATTGAACTTCTCCTAATAGTTCTTCCGCCCTATTTTTCATCCTACTCTGTAAAATTCTAGTTAAGATTTTTGATATATGTTCTAAATGCCTTGCACCTATCTGCGCCTCTCTATTTAGATATGGTTACTACCACGTTCCGTTTATTATCCTCTGGAACTTTCCCTGTCTCGTAAATGTGACAAACTAGTTTAAATATACGATCTGTAACCTCTCCCAGTATCCCGTCTACCTCTGGCTCCTTATTATTCTTTAATTTTTTTAATGCTACATCGAATTCTTCTATCATTATGGAATAACCTAGCTCATCGATCTCTACACTATCTTCCTTCTCTAATATATCTCCTAACTCAGGGCCTGCGAATAGGTTCTCTAAATATTCTTTCCACCTATTTGCCTTTTCCTCATTTTCTATTAAAATGACCCCTGCCTCGTTTCTTATATTATTACTACCCTACATCTGCAAAATTCCTCTTAATTATATTATACGCCTCATCGGTTTTACATACTTTAAGCTTTTATTCTACTTCCTTACACATCCTATCAATCCACTCTTCGTTAGCTGCCCTACACTTCCTAATTATTTCCCACTTTATATCCTTATATTTTTCGTTTAAGACATAGTATATATATAGCTGCTGATTTAGGCATGTTTTAATGCAGTTCCATTCTGTCTATGTCCCTGTCATTCGTTTCTCCCGCCGCCTTTAGTATTTCGTCTGTCCTATCACGCGTTTCGTTAAATTTAGCTTTTCAAGACGACTCCTATCGTCCTTCTTTTTCAGAATTTTCAATTTGAGATTAGTCTTCATAACTACTATGTTTTGATCGCTATCTATATCTGCTCCTGGATAACTCCTACAGTCCTTCACTTCATTTTTAAGTCTTTGCCTGACAAGTATGTAATCTAACTGATATCCCCCTAAATCACCTGGCATCTTCCACGTATAGCGCCTCCTAACGTGATGGTTAAATAAAGTATTTGCGACGGTTAAGTTATGTTTATCGCAAAATTCTATCAGTCTGTCTCCCCTATCATTTATATTGCCTAATCCAAAAGAACCTGCTATTGCATCCACTTTACCCTCACCCAGTACTGCGTTGAAGTCTCCTACAACAATAAGGTTTCCCTGCCCTTTCACTAAACTAAACACGTCTTCTATATCTGCATAAACCGCTTCTACGTCTTCATCACTGTAGGATGATGTAGGCATGTAGACCTGCACTAATACCGTTTTTACCGGCTTCGAATTTACTTTTTTCTAAATAATTTTCTACACTCTGCCCTACTTTCCTACACATATTACAATTCCTATCCCCGAATTACCTTCCACCGATCCTGTATGTATTATTCTAAAGTCTCCATTCCAGAAGTCTCCTGCTTCGGGCTAACGGACTTCACTAAAACTTATACTATATCTAATTCTAATCTATCCATCTGTACTTTTAAATTTTCTAATTTTCCTTGCTTGTCCTAACATTCCAACTCCGACTCGTGAAATATTGCACCTATCCCTATTATATTTAAAAATGAAGGATAAAAATCTTAATATTTTTTTTGGACCGCTTTAGTTGCCAGACAAACAAAGATGACAATACAGGTTTTAATTTTATTCTTTTTTTAAAAACGCTTTTCTTTTATGTAAAGGGGTTCGCAATAATCTATACAAACGTGGGAAAATGGTTGTGATGGGGTAACACGCTATTGCGGCAGTGAGTCCATGTGATAGGTACATTGGGTGAGTTGATTCCGAATGCAGCTTAAGCAAATGTGTATCATACCATGGCCTCACTACCAGCGCGTTAGCCCATCACAATTATTTTCCCACGTCGGTATAGATTATTGCGAACCCTATTACATCAAAGAAAAGCGTTTGTAAAACAATAATAAAATTAAAACTTGTATTGTCCACATAGAGCTGGTTTGTGACCTCACTGTTATTTCATATTATAGTCTACTAATTTCATAATAAAGTTAAATTCATTTTTGGTTTATATCTCTCGTATAAATAAATGTTTATTAGGTATATTATACATCGTTGAAAATGCCTTTTTAGGAGCTATCTAACTAACTAAAAATCCAATAAGAAAATCATAAGAAAAATATAAAATGGCCCTAATAACTTGCAAACAAATGAAAATTGGGGGTTCATGTTAATACCATCAAGAAGGTGCTTGAACAACGTAAACGTTGCTTTAGCTCTGTGCCTCCAGTGCTATCCACTACTTAATCCAGTAGACGTTGGGACTTTCACGTGCGTACCAAAGCTGTCTCCTAAAGCTTCGTCCCGTCAAAATCCAATCAGACACACTACCCCCCACGAGATCGCTCTTACCATCTGTTCTCTGAAAAAGAGAAAAGCCCTTGGCACTGAAAGAATTCCCAACGGAGTCTTGCCACAAAAACACATAACCGCACTCTGCAACATCACAAACGCTATCATGCGCCTCCACCACTTCCCTTTGGTAGGGAATGGAGCCACTGTCATACGTCTCCCCAAAAAAGTGAAGCACCTCAACTCTTGTTCAAGTTACAGGCCCATCAGCCTGCTCAGTTCGTTGAGCAAAGTAGTTGAATCCATTCTTCTCGATGGGCTCTAAGACCACTTGGAGCAAAGCAACCTTCTCCCTAATTATCAACACAGTTCTGTAGTCATCATGATACCGGCCACCTACTTCTTCGCGTATCTGAATACATTTCCTACAACCTTTACAAGCTGTATTACAGCTCCATGCTTCTTTGTCGACAAAGCCCTAAACTGGCGGCGTCACATCTCAGCCACTCGTAGGGTGCATTCATTACGCTCATGCCGTTCTTCCAAAACAACTCCATCTCCCAACAAACAAAAACCCGTGCGTTTAAGGCAATCATCAGGAGCATTTACTTCTACGCCATTCCCGTCTGGGGCTGTGCCTTTCCCCACCGCCTGAAGCTTCTGCAAGGCACCTACTTGCATATCTTTCATTCCGCACTAAACTACCTCTGATTCGTCAGAAACACCTAAATTCTGAAAGAAACCGGTTTACTTTCTCTCCCTGAGGCTGCAATCTCATTCGCGGTAAATCTCCTGGCCTGAGTGTCAGATCACGCTAACCTCACCATTTCGACACTCTCCAACTTCGCCCTGAAACAACACGACTGTTTCCGGAGATCCAGTCACCTTCTACAATGATCTGCTCTCATTTGCTCATCTCTAGCTTCGCTTTTTAGCGCGAGTGTCCACCCATCACTTCAGAGGTGGACCACCTATTTTCGACGGTTTCTCCCCAAAACACTCCCGTCTTCTCCCACACTCAACCGTTTTTGCAACTAAATCCTCTTCCCACTCCCAACCTTTCCATTTCCTTTCCGGGGAGGTGTCTTTTGACGAATTCCCTTCCTCGAGAATAATCTAAACAAAAAAATGACCAGTAATCAGAACCTCCCTGCTCTCACTACCTCTAGCAGCCACCTTAGCTTTAAAATCTATCCTTAGCTCTCGCAGCTACCCTCAGCTTTCGCAGCTATCCATTAGTTCTCGCAGCTACTTTAACTCTATTAACTACATATTACGCTGACTTTTCACCAACGGGCAGGCCGCTTGGTAAAAGAATATCGCAACCGCCGTCACTGAGAGATGGACCGACCAGCCGATACCAACGCCGGAGGCTTATGGACCGACATACCACAGCCACCTGTTCGCCTATTTCAAGAAGCTAAGCGCCGACTACAATCCGAACTTGTGGCTAACCGCTGCCGACGACATTGCGTCACAATCCGTCACCGTCGCGACGCTGCATTTGACTACCGCCATTAATGCCAGCCGCTCTACATACGCCGCCAAAGACTTCACTATCAACCTGAGCTATGAGCATTAAATTTTGCAAAACGTTTCCCTTTTATCGGTTGCTGTACCTCTCGTAATAACCCAATTACCGATAGTAATCGTCTATATAGGGATACCCTGTATAATGATCATGTCTCTGATTTGAATACACCGAATACATCATAACATCAGCTTTATTTAAAAGTTAAATTTAGTTAAAATCTTCGATCACATAATATACTAAACACGCCGTTCGTTTCGAATGGTGAAGCCAAACCGCCGCCACCAATAACGTCAGTGAAGGGTAAAATATAGCTTGCTGTATAGCGACAATCAACTTCATAGAAGTTAGATGTTCTATTACCATAGATATAAACATGATCCACTACAAGGTTATGAGCTGATCTATGGGTTATGAGCAGTTATGTTTTGATTTAATGGTTTTTATTTTGTTTTTGTTATGTTAACCCTAAAGGGCTATTGTTGTACATTGCAGTACAGTGTGGTTATATTGTGGTAGATGTTATTATGTTGCAGTTAGCATAATTCGCATCGTACACTTATATATTAATCTGTGTTGTGTTATATTTATTATAAACGTAACAGGTTTCAATTTTATTGCAAGTGAAAATGTAATTTATTTGTATAATAACTACATAAGATGAATAATTAAAAAAATAATTTACCAACCTTGTGATAAGTAAAATGGCTTCAGTAAAGGTTGCAGTTAGAGTAAGGCCCTTCAATCAAAGGTATTTAGTTTAATTATGCTTAAAATAAAAAAATTATACAGACTAAATTTGTAACATTACAGGGAATTAGATTTGGAGGCAAAGCTTATTATTCAAATGCAAGGAAACCGAACTGGTATCCTAAATTGTAAAGTAATGATGATAAGCAGAACTTGTCTTCAGAAATAATATATACATTATGTTTTCAGGCTAATGCCAGAGATGAAAGCATACGTTATAAAGAATTTACTTTTGATTATTCTTATTGGTCTCATAATAAAGAATCTCCTAATTTTGTTTCACAAGAACAGGTATATAATGATTTAGGTACTGAAGTTGTTGACTGTGCCTTTCAAGGATATAATGGTTGTGTTTTTGCTTATGGACAAACTGGAAGTGGCAAAACTTTTACCATGATGGGCTCACCTGTAAAGTTTTTTATATTTATTTTTGACAGCTAAATTATTTATTTCCTCTTTTAAGGAGGAGCAAGGACTAATACCCAGAGTTTGCAAATCAATTTTTGATAGAATGGTGGAAAACTCTATGAAAGGTACTACGCATCGTGTTAGTGTAAGTTATTTGGAGATCTATCAAGAGAAAGTTGCTGACCTTTTAAAAGGTCACAATTCAGCAGTTAGAGTTCGTGAGCATCCTAAGAAAGGACCTTATGTTGAGGGGTTAACCACACTTATAGTTACTAACTATGAGCAAATTTTAGAGTGTATAACTAGGTATTATATTAAATATATATAAAAATTTGAAACAGTAGTCACTTTGTTTGTAGGGGAAATGCAAATCGAACTACAGCTGCAACTAATATGAATGATGTTAGCAGTAGAAGTCATGCTATCTTTACAATAACTTTTGTTCAAGCAGGATATTGTAATGGAATACCTAGTGAAACTGTATCTAAAGTAAGTATTTAAAAGATTTTTTTATTTTCACCTCCACATCAAGTATCTTACATGAGCTACTACCCTTTAACAATTTATATATCAACTCCATCAAACAGTGAAGTTGAAAAATAGTTAACTTCAGCAAACTTTAAATAAGCATTATTGGCATGCAAATAATATCTATCTCAAAACTTTTTTTTGGTGAAGAAATTTACAAACAAGAGATATCAAGTTGATTAAACAGATTATTTATTGACCTATGCCAGATTATCAAATAATTCAGGATACAATCTGCTGGTATTAAACTAGGTATAGTTATTACTTAAAGCTGTACTTGATTTGCTTATTGCGATCAAACTAAGTTTAATTGAAAATTCATTTAAATAAAACTTGTTTCCTACTTTTATACAAGATGGTCTGTAGCGTCTTTTGATTTACTATACAGAGTATTCGAAAATAAAAAAAGCAGGTTTCGTCTAAAAAGCAACTTTTTGAAATATTAGTCCAATCAAATAACGGTATAGGAAAATATTGTTCAGAATGTCAAAATATGGGGCTGTGGTGGATAACGATAACGACTAAATACTAGTAATTTAAACATCACGATTAAATTTTATAAATTGTAACTAGTATTCGTTGTGTCATGTTCATGTGTATATTTCTTTGTGTTTCTGTTTAAAATTTCTTTTGTTAACTTTTAATATTCCTTCAAATATCATAAACATTCTTTTATTCAAATTTAGGTAAATATCGTTTCAAACGATTATTTTCTATTATCAAATATTGAAGCAATCAAAATTCCTTTCTATTGTATTTGTATTGCAGTAAATGTATTTCTTTTGTATGTCCTCCTGTAAATATTTTAGATATTGTACTCTAATTCTTTCCACCTATCTCTGTCAATAACTTTATTATATTATTTTCCTATAATCCCTTTAAACATTTCAGTTTCGCTTACTAACCGCACCACGTCTGTATTCCCTATTCTTTCTTAATTGCCTTTTATGAAGGGTTTCTGCGGTGGCCGGTACTGTAGTCTACTTTTTAGGATTTTCTATCTCTGGTATTTTTCAGACATTAAAATACTGCTCTATTGATACTCCATTTCTATGTGCTACCCTTTATCAGCTTTTACATCGATTTTTTGAAACTCGGTGGTTCCTCTTAAGCTTTTCAGCAATTAAGTGTTTTCTCTATTTACGCGTGTCTTTTTAAGTTTATAAATATATGTTTTATTTCTTTGTTGTTACTGTTATTACGTTCTCAAAAAACTAACAAACTAAAGTCAAAAACACTTAAGTGGTTTGACATGTTAAAGTGGTTTCAGTGAACGTGCAAACCTTCGAGTGCAAGAGTGTAACACAGGATTAAACAGTGCAATTGGAAAAAACAGCTCAGGTAAACCTTTCTGTTTTTTTGTTGTTTTTCGTGACAATAGTGAATCCAACCACTGAGGAAACCCGTGTTTTAAGTGCGTTAGAATCAATGCTCGGTAATAAAAACAGCTCAGCGCGTCCCAGGAAGAGAAAACTCACCGATTCCTGAAATATGAAGAGTTGAATGATCGAAAGTCGTTCTAATTTATGTGACATTTGAAAAGTCTCGCCGGTTCTGCAGCTCCTTTCAACATTATCAAGGTCATATGGTTTAACCGACTACCGAGTAACATGCAGCCCATACCCGCAGGTTAAACAACAGCTTCTTGGAGGATCTAGCCGACCTAGCCGATAAGCCAATGAACTTATCGATAGGGAAGCCAAACAACTTCTGTAAGACTGTAAGTACAGTTACGGCATCCTCGATTGCCGAGATGTTCGCCGAACAATTGCGTCTGATTGGATCAGGGATGATAGCGCAGTAAATAATATGCAAAATGTGGGTTCCTTCCTGATTTTTCAAACAACTTCCATTTTATTAGGTAGGTCAATGTTCATGACATATCGTAAAATACTACATTTTTTAAGTAGTCACACACATTTTTATTTAATAAATGTGTAATATTTTATATTTCTCTAATTTATGTCCTTTTGTACAAATTGAGCTATCGGCTTGAATTGTTTTTGCTAAAAAGCACATATTTTATGAATAATAATGTTATTAAAAATAAGACCTTTTAAAAATAGATAACTTTAAAGTTCAGAAAATATGCAATCAAATTTCCACTTGTAACCTTGCATAACATGCTGCGAAGAAAATTGAGATAAAAGATAACAGAAGTTTTTAATAGTATAATTTTTATAGTTCAGGTACAGTGATTTTTTAAATCACGGTTTCAATTGTGACTCGCCGCACCGACTGTCTACAAAAGAGATTTATGTGGAATGTAGCCGGCGAGGCGCGGCGCGGCGCGGCGCTGTAATGACCAATGCTGGCGATGATCAACTCGTAGTCTGTTTTGCTTTTTAACGAATCATCGTCATCATAAAGTCGTCAGTCCTTAGACTGGTTGGACACGTACATCCACTCTTACCTATCCTGAGCTAAACTTCGCATTTCCCTAAAACTAGAACAACCCAGATCCTTAACTATATGCGAACAGCAATCTAATCTAGGTTTACCTCCACCCTTCCTAATTCCTGTTTCTGCCTCTAATACTTATATCTCTTACTAGACTTTCATGCCTGAGAAGGTGTCTTACCAACCTATCTCGACTATTTCTTATTGACTTCCATAGAGTCCTCTGTTCTTATATTCTTTCTAATACTTCATTTCTAACCTTTTCTATCCACGGTATCCTCATCATTCGCTTATAACACAACATTTCGAACGCTTCTAACCTTTTCATTGCCGTTGCAACCACTGTCCATGTTTTACACTCGTACAACACCGCGCTCCAGACATACACCTTTAACAACTTTTTTCGAATTTCTAAATTAACCGTTCTCGAGCATAGAAGTGACTTCTTTGTATTGAAGGCGACACGACCCTGCTGTATTCTCCGCTTTATATCCCTACTATTCCTTCCATCATGACTCATCTGACTTCCTAGATATCTAAAATCAGCAACTGTATCTAATTTTTCTTCTCCTATCTTTATATTCGTTCTTTCCTTACTTTTTCTTTCCTTACATACCCGTATTTTAGTCTGACTCCCTAATATTTACTTCTCTATGTTGCAACTTTAACTCTGTAACTGCCTATTGTTCTTTATACAAACTAAGTATTACTCTTCTATCTTTGTAACTCATCCCTATATCCCAAGTATATTTAACATCTTGTCCCATTTAACATTGTTAAAAGCTTTTTCTAAACCTACAAATTCTATGTACGCACTCTTTCCTTTTCCAATCATTTTCTCTATTGTTACACTTAAAGCTAGAATGGCCTCCCGCGTTTCTCTATTTCCCCTAAACACAAATTGATCTTCCCCTAACAGTTCTTCGGCCCTTTTTTTCATCCTACTTTGTACAATTCTAGTTAAGATTTTTGACTCATAGGCAGTTAAGCTAATTGTTCTAAACGTCTCGCATCTATCGGTGCCTCACTTTTTCGGAATCATTACTACCACGTTCCGTTTATAATCTTCTAGAACTTTCTCTGTCTCGTAAATGTGACTAACTAGCATAAACATGTGATCTCTAACCTCTTGTCCTGCATGTTTTAGAGTTCCCCTCTGTATCCCATCTACCCCTAGTGCATTATTATTCTTTAAGTTTTTTAATGCTACATCGAACTTTTCTCTCATTGTGGGATAACCTACCTCATCTATCTCAACACTATTTTCCTTCTATAATATATCTCCTAACTCATGACCTGCGGATAGGTTCCCTAAATATTCTTTCCACCTATCTGCCTTTTCCTCATTTTCTATCAACATGACCCCTGCCTCGTTTCTTATATTATTACTACTGTATCCTACATCTCTAAAATTCCTTTTAATTATATTATACGCCTCATCGGTTTTACCTACTTCAAACTTTTCTTCTACTTCCTTACACATCCTATCAATCCACTGTTCCTTAGCTGCCCTACACTTCCTAATTATTTTCCGCTTTATAGCCTTATATCTTTATCGCCCTTGTTCGTCTGTTCTGTTTTTGTATTTTGACCTTTCTTCTATTAATTCTAAAATCTCATTTATTATCCAGGGTTTCCTACTTTCGTTTCGTTCAAGACATATCTGTAACTGCTGACGTTAGGCATGTTTTAATGCAGTTCCATTCTGTCTCTATGTTCCTGTCATTCGTTTCTCCCGCCGCCTTTAGTATTTCGTCTGTCCTTTTACCTAACCTATCACGCGTTTCGTTACATTTTAGCTTTTCAAGGCGTCTCCTACCTTCCCTTTTTTTCAGAATTTTCAATTTAAGATTGGTCTTCATAACTACTAAGTTACGATCACTATCGATATTTGTTCCTGGATACCTCCTACAGTCCTTCACTTGATATTTAAATCTTTACCTAACAAGTATGTAATCTAACTGATATCTCCCTAAATCACTTGGCATCTTCCACGTATAGCGCCTACTAACGTGAGGGTTGAATAAAGTATTCGCGACGGTTAAGTTATGTTTATCGCAAAATTCTATCAGCCTATCTTCCCTATTATTTCTATTGCCTAATCCAAAAGAACCTGCTGTTGCATCCACTTTGCCCTCGGCTATTACTGCGTTGAAGTCTGTTACAACTATTAGGTTTTCCTGCCCTTTCACTAAACTTATCACGTCTTCTGTGTCTGCATAAACCACTTCTACGTCTTCATCACTGTAGGATGATGTAGGCATGTAGACCTGCACTAATACCGATTTTACCGGTTTCGAGTTGAATTTAACCACAACTATCTTATGGCTTTTTTGTAAATAACTTTCTCTACCTGCCCTACTTTCCTACGCATTACAATTCCTACCCCTGAATTACCTTCCACCGATTCTGTATGTATTACTCTAAAGTCTCCTCTCCAGAAGTCTCGAGCTTCGGGCTAACGGACTTCACTAATGCCTACTATATCTAATCTACTCATCTCTACTTTTAAATTTCCCTACTTGCCTCATTGTCCTAACATTCTACGCCCTGTGCTGTAA